CTGTTATCCAGGATCACACTTGATCTTGGCGGAGTATTTCAAGAAAGACCCTTGCACTTGGCACCCAAGTGGTTTCGCATGATTTGCATGGTGGCTTTGTGAAGGGTTTTGCAGCCTTTGTCGTTTTTGGCGAGGCATGTGTTGCCATGGTCGAACAAGGCCAAAACCCATGGGTCAATATCACCTCAAGACGATTGATGGAGTTTTGCACCTCCGAGTGACTAGCACCATCAATCCTTTTCCACGACCCTCGGAGTATCCTTTCTGCCCTCCGCTGAGGAAGGTTTGGAGGGCGTGACCACAAGAGGTATGGATGCTTTGCCCACTGGGCCCAAGACAGATGCTGGGCCCACTGTTTATCCAAAAACAAAGAAATCATGTTGGGAGTACATGCTGCATGGTGGGGACTTGGATGAAGCAAACCCAAAATGTGACCCAGCGGCTAGCAATCATGTTGAGATGTGGTGGCCAGCCGCCAGCCTCAGACACATTCTGCTCTTGTTTTGCTATCATGGATGAAGTCACATGAGGCTGAACATCATTTTTGGGTGCCCACGATTCTATGCCGATTTGTACTTAGTCGTGTTTAGACTACAATATTGTAATTATATTGATTGTATTCTGGCTTGTCCCCCCACGATCCAATTATATTGGCTCATGGTTGTGACATGTTGCGACTATTTCAGCGGGAAGCCTCTTTTAACCTGAGTTATAAAATGTTACTGCAGGGTGGGAGGATAACCCAGTGTGACAGAGTCGGTAAGTAATTAGTTTGACAGAGCAATGTAGAGCAGGCCAGCGAAGAACGTTTGGATTCTTCAGTGTGTTTAATTTTTCGAGCCAAAGTTCCCCTTGCCCTGGAAGATGGGAATTCAAACAGTTGCATTGGCTCAAAACCAAACACCCAAGACCTTTGTCGAAGAACACTTAAACCTTTGAACCGTATAGATCGTTTAATTCATGCCTAGGCTGCCGAGGATTTTGCACAGACATGTTTGGGACGGGACGGATGACTGGTGCTTGAGGATGAGCTCTTCAAACGACAGGTGGTCCATTGCACAGGCCGGTGATCGACGGGGCACGAGTCGAGTCGAGGCAAATCGCTTGATCGAGTCGAGTCGGTGAAATCAGTCGACATGAAATTTCCGAAGATCAACGAAACACTCGTGAGGATTGTGATTGATTCATTGATACAATTCGATACCACTGCCAACCAAAGTACCGAGATCGGTATCGGCAAAAAGACAATGTTTTCGGCGAACAGCCTTTTGCAGTTCACTCATCAATATCTTATCATCTATCGATACTGCTGCCCTTCACGAGTCATTTCAAGTGTCACTTCTTTGTTTCGCAAAACGACCTCACAGAGTTGATGGGGGCGAACAGAATCGGGGCTGTGCTTCAGAAATGGCGAAGGGAACCAGAGGAGTTAATGGTTTGTGTGGGTGGATTGTCAATGACCACCAGAGGCTGCCTGATGGTGGGCCTTCCCCGTTCAGGCAAAGCTGGTGACGTGTACATCGCCAACTACATGACAGCTGCCCGGTGCAACAAGCACCATACGGTTTTTGTATGGAATAGCCTCCAACCGAACTGCGATGGCCTGGAACCTAGAAGCGATGGCCTCCATCCAACCAAATGGCGATGCAGCGTCGATTTTGATTCTGATCCAAAGTTGGCGACATTTTCCATTCACTGCAGGAACGTGAGTCCTTCAGCGACAGCTCACTTGATCTCAACGGTAAACTTTAAATGTGTCGGCTGTATTTGTAATGGTGCGGGCAATGTATGCCCAACAACTCCCAAACGATACCGGTTCAGTGAAATAGCTCGTAACCCACTAACATTCACTAACATGGAACTCATGAAAGTGGACAACCCATGATAACCCACACCATTCAGCCATCCTCCCACTGTACATCTTCCAAGCGACCATGTTTTCCTATAGGTTTTCCTTGTTACATCTTTAGATCGATTCCTAGGAGATGAACTTCCAAGTTACTCCTTCAAGATGAAAGATCCTGTGGCGCCCGTCAGGCTCACTTAGTCGCTCCAAATACTTCGTCCGATATCCGCCACTGGGCTGCAGCGCTGAAGCTGAAGCGAGTCAGAGTTGGTGCCCGCCCAATCACCCTCAATCGTTGAATCAGAATACGTAGAACCTCAGTTACCCTTATTTCGACAAAACATCCAATATAATATACATGACAAAGACTGCAAAACAGGGCAACGGGATCGAGGTTTAAAGTGCCCACACTTAGCAGTGGCCATCTCCTTGGGAAGCGACTCTCCATCGATTGAGTTGGCCATCTACATCTGACTCTATTTTGTGTACTGTGGAGTTACACATCCGAGGTTATGCGTGCTACTTTCGATTTAAAGGTCCTGGATTCAACGATGATTTGCATCAGCCTGCCTCCATGCTTGATCCATTGATTCTTGGCGGTAAGAGGGCTGGGCTTTTTGAAATGGAAGTTCCAAGGAATCCTCTCGGAGCTCCCCTTGGATGTGGGCTCCCCTTGCTGTCGGATTCCGTTGGGGATGAGGAGTTGGGATGGGATGTCCGAGTGTGGAAGCCTTCCAATCGACGAATCAAGGAGCTTCCACCTCCTGCAGGTGAGCAGGTCTTCTGAGGATGGTGCGCATGTCTTTTTCTCTAAAGATAGGACCAGTGTTTGTGTGAAGCGGGCAGATCTACTCTGGACATCTTTGGACAGGGCCCCCACGCCGCTCGGTGAATGCTGAAAATCACTCCTGGCCACCATCCGTGAGAGAATCCATCCTTGGCCCTTGGAGTGTTGCAATTTTCCAGGCTCCATTGGCACCTGAAGAGCGTCAGCGAAGGGACGAACTCTGCTGAAGGGTCGAAGCCCAAGTTGCGGACCATGAAGACCATGGAGGAAGCGGAAGCCAATTTACTCCTCGAGGAGACCCTGGGAGCAGACTCTTTGCAGGGATTTGGATGGATTGTTGCTTGCGGATTCAAGTCTTGTAGGAGATGATCCAGATGTTAGATGTTTCAATTTTTATACATTATACTGTACATGATTAGAAGCACAAGATACAACAGTCATCTAGTGGATCATGCAGCATGCAGATCATCGTCAAATTATTGCATCTACGGATAGGCCATGATAGGCCATGTAATCTGGTGGTTTCCCTCTTGTATTGTGGCTCTTTGAATATTCATAGCGCTTTTCAGGAACGCACTGCCCTGCGATCTACCCTGAGACTGTTTCTTTGCAAGAATCCAAAACATGGGTCGACTGTGTGTGTGCAGTTCACGGTATGTACACGATTTGTTGTGTATTAAATAGTGGTACAGGTCAAAATCCAACCAATCATTAGTGACCGATATGTCCTCCGTCTAAGAACTATAGACACTCTCCTGCAGACCTTGTGAGTGTCCTCGATGTGTTGTCCAAAGGGTGTGCCAAGGTCCTTCTCAACACCTTTCCAGATACAAGGCTAGGGCCCTTAGCTAGTCCTTGGCAGACAAGCCATGGTCTAACCCCTGCCCAAACTGCCCCTAGAATTACTTGGTGCCTACCGCAGTTTCATAAACATAGACGGGTACCAATACTCTTTGCACACATGCTTGGAGAGGCAATTGACCCTGGAAATCGTACATTCCAATACTAATATATATATATATACTGTATGTTATATATGATATACAGTGTTGTTGATCACACCTTATCCCGGCTGTGGCAATTTGTGACTTTTCATTTTGCAGGGAGAGTGTTTGACACGCCGCGAGAGGACTACTATGCCAGCAGCAACAATGACCACACAGCCAGAGCAGGTTAAGCATTTGGTGGTCAGTGATCACGTGAAATCACATGACATGGTGAAGCTTGGGGTTTGCCCCCAACCACTAACAATGGAATAAGAAGAAGCAAACACAACGCAAAAACCGAACGTGGGACCCACTGTTGGTGGGTGGGGCAGGATTCAAGATTATAACGGAAAGGCCTAGGGAGTCTCCACTGTTTGAAGAGATACCAGGCCTTCGGGCAATGTTTCGGAGAGAGCGAAGTGCCAGCAAAGGGCACAGAAGCACTTCTCACAGTGGGTAGATGCTGATCACTGCATCGCCGCATCACCTGTGACATGGGCATTTGTCAGCTAGTTTTCACGTCATTGCAGATGAACGCTCGGGCAATGCATTCCGCATTTGTAGCCTGGGCTTGAAAACTCCCATCATGTTTGGAGCTTCAATGTTTGGCAGTTTCCCCAAACTTCCACGGATGAATGAAGTGTCAATACAATATGGCTGTGGGTCCAGAGTAAGTAAGACAGAAAAAAATCCACCCTGGGGATGTTGTACCCAAAGCCATATTATTTGTTTACTTGTTGTGGGGCGAAGCACGGTCAAAGAACACCGTCGCTCCGCACCATGCTGAGAAAAGAAAAGCTGCTGTGTGCATGGGAGACTGCGCAGGGACCAGAATGTATCACAGGCAAAACTGCAAACACAACAAGTCAAAGTCCTGTTGGGGTTCCCCCCACTTTCACAAAAAGATGCACAAAGCATTGGTGATGTCACTGAGGCCTTGTTGGCCACAAGATATAGTGCAGATGCAGGGGTGCATCATGGTGAGCTTGTAGTCGAGATGGCAGAAGCTCCTGAACCCTTGTTTGGCAGACCATGATGTTCTTGGCGCGTTCGTTCGTATGCTAGACCAGTCACCAACAATCCACTTTTGGAGCATGAAGAGCTGATGGGACTTTCTTTTTGGTCGGCTGTTATACATTTGTATACGTAATAAATACAATACTATTTATCATGTTGCACAATAATATAATTGACTGTATACTTGGACCTTGGACCCTTGAATCATATTGAATATGTTATACTGGTGTTTGACCAGTTGTATACCTGATTCTATAGACGTGATGAGAGTATATCGCATACAGTGTGGTGTGGCATTTTCTCACTGGCGCGCACAGGTCGCATCCACGGCATGATCAAATGGCCGCGATCGGTTCGGCGAGCAAGGGTAGACTGCAAGATGCGTGTGCTTTTCTTCTATTCATCAACTGTCAAGTGCTTATGGAGTAGTTGTTGTGTGCTTCTATTATATTGGTTGGGACCCTGGTTGGCCATGAGTATCAAAATAGAGGTTGATTTAACATGACGTGACACCTGAGCGAGGAAATCATATCAATGATTCCATTTAGAAATGACAAAGTGCAGATACACAGCTGCAAACATGAGCAAGTGCACCAAAGACAGAAGTAGCGGGGCAGTTGCCAACAGTTCAATCGTCAGGAATCAATTCCTCGATTTTGGCAGGTCAGAGACAGCTGTGTTGATTTTTACACTATATCTTTGTGCAAGACCATGTAACTCGTTTGATCATGTCGACGACCGTTGTTTGTGCGTTTCAGACCCATGGCGTCACGTAGTGAACAGGTTTCTCTTCCCCGTCATGAAGGCTCGTGTGCTTCGAAGGCTCGTTCATAGCACGTCATGAACATCAAAGTGGATCAAAGGACAGATCACTGAAAGTCCCGGAAATCACGTATCAAGTTATTACGTAGGTTATATGTGGTCATTTTGTTTACCCATGTGACACACAAGTCTTTGAGCAGGATACCCCTGCAAGTTTTTGTGCGAAACCCCCGAGCGAGCTTTGCTCGCTGCTAGTTCTCCACAGTGTGAAATCGCACTGTTTTTCGGCTTTGCACCTCTGAAGGCCGCGTAGTGGTTTGGAATGCATGTCTTACACATGTTGCATTATTTTTGTGTTTTGTAAAGCTAAGAACCCGTGTGTTTCAGCCCTTAACCTTGGTTAGGCTATGATAGTACTCACGAGCATGTAGCCGTATGATACATTGCCTGTGAAAAGTCACAAGTGCTTCAAGTGTCTGGCAGATATCACAGTTGCACGTTACCAGATGTTCTGGAGATGCCCATGTGAACACCGGTAACAGTAATGCAGGTTGTCACAAGCAGGTGTCCGCGGATACTCTTTATGTTCAGCTTCACCCCTTTCAGATTCAGGATCGATCAGTGTATCCACTATAAGGTGGTGGCCCATTCCGAAGGAGTAAGGACGCTACTAGGGGCTCCTGGCCATACTACTAGGAACAAGTGCATCGCTACTAGGAGCAAGGGCCTTACTACTAGGAACAAGAAGCTAGTAGAAACAATATATAAATAGAAACAATAAGCTACTAGGAACAAGTGCATCGCTTCTAGTAACAAGTGCCTTACTACTAGGAACCAGAAGATAGTAGAAACAATATATAAATGTGAGGATCGGCCTGAGGTGCGGTCCCAGACGGATCGGCCGACTCGTCCATAACCTGGCTCGTCCGGTCTGATCCGATCCTCGGCTGGCGGATTAGAAACGAACCGAGAAAAACTGGTTCAGATTAGTGGTGTTGGAAAGCTTTGTTTCATTCTCCAACCGTTTTTAGAAATGTGAGTCTTCTCAGTCTTCTCTTCACCTCTAGCAGAATGGTCAGTATGAGCAGTGGCAACTGGCAGTTAAGGGAACGTTCATTTGTCTTCATTTATTATGCTTCTGGTTTTAGTATATTGATTTTGTGGTTGCAGGCTGCAGGAGCTTTTCCAATCACTGTGGTGTCGAGAGCTGTGTATGTCCTTGGTGAATGGAAGGTTTTTGACTGGCCCATCCAGTTTGCGGCCAGTGTGTTCAAAATTAACCACAATCACATTTGCGACATGTATCTTCAGACAATCAGCTACTATACCCAATTCCTCCCTTCCACACAAACGATCACAACCCACGTTCATCTGCAGCTCGCTCTGCAGCGTTGCGGCTCGCTTTAGAAGCAGTTCAACCGCCTCCGTCCAACCGCGACAAAGCGACATCGACCATGAAGACCGGCCGATCCAGTGCGCTTCTGCAACTCGCCGCCGTGCCGGGGCTCAGACGGACGTGGACGTTGCGCGCCAGTTCGTACGAGTCCGGCAAAAGGAGACGTCCAAAAGGAGACGTCCCAAGACTAAGAGCTTCCACCAGTTCTTGTTTTTGTAGTTTTTCTTTGTGTTCAAAGGGTTACAGTATGTTACAGTAACCCAACAGAAAGAAAAGAAAAGACATACAACGTTCCATCCATCCCCTGCCTACCACACCGTATGCCAAACAGAAGCCGGTGGTCCCCAAACGACCGGAGACCGAAACGTGCGACGCTTGCGACGCTTGCGACGCTTGCGACGCTTGCGACGCTTGCGACGCTTCAGGTGGCTGGGGTCTTCTACCTCGGCCAGTGGGCCTTCGTCGGTGGCCGCGGAGACTCCGCCAAGATCACTCGGACATTGCGCCGAGGAGGTGAGAGGTCTTGGGCGAATGTGGGGAGTGGTTTTTGTTGTTTAGAGCGCACGGGGGGGGGGTAGGCCGTAGAGGTAGTAGCTAGGTAGCTAGTAGAAGCTAGGTAGCTAGTAAGCTAGTAGCTTAAACAGCTACTACCTATGGACGAAGGATAGCTCACGCTCGCATTCATGATGTGGTTTCTAGATTTTAGGTAAACTTAACATCACTAAGTGCATTGGGGTGAAGAATGGTGAAGATTATTCTGGGATGCCATGACAGAGTAGAGACTGCACAGAGAGAATGGTTGACCAATATAACGACAGCGCGAAACTTGGAATAACTTATCGTCACTTCGGAGAAAAAGAAACAACAACATAAACCCCTCCTCACTTTTGATTTTGGGATGTTTTGGCCATAAAACACCGTGCCCGTGCAGGAAAAATAACATAGAATGCCCAAAAGTTGGGCATTCTAAATTGTATGGGTGTTATTGAACAAAGTGAAAATACATTCATTGTTTTTCGGACGGGTCATAGAACTTAGAACGACTAAACATTTTGGCACGCAACATGGATCAAACACAATCATTTTAAAAAAATGTGACGGTGGCTTTTGATGTTGGAATGCTTCTGGGCAAATTTGTGCTTTTTCAATCACAGTAGCCAAACTTAGAATCACCGATCAGTGGCTACAATTGAGAGTTGTTGCTTGGCCACAGCCTGTGTGGAAGAAAAACTATTAGTGATCTGGGAAATATTGAGTTCTACAGACAATTGCATTCAAAAAAAGTGAAAATTTGTGTTTTGAGTTGGTTCCTTTCGTTTCCTTTAGTTTTTGTTGATGTTTGAAGGGCAAAGAAAGGACACCAAAAGGAAAATGAAGACAAGATGGAGGGAACTTGAAGGACAATCAAGGACATCACTCTTTTGTTCACTCTTAAATCATTGTTTTTGTGTTTTCCTATGTTTGAATTTACATTGAAACAATGAAAAGAAACATTAAAGGACATGACATTACATAAACATGAAAGGAACATTTAAAAAAATGAAAATTACAAGGAACTGCATGAAATTAAAGGAAATCAT